TATCTCAGACAAAAATCCCTTGCACTAAATTACTGTTAAAAACCATAAGCATTTACAACTCTCTGAAAAAGGCGTAGTTTTTGTTGTAATTCTGCTGAAAATAATTAAACATATGCAGGTAGTCCTATGTGCGTAAAAAGAGAAAAGAATAATGTATTTGTAAATAAAATGTTCATTTATTTCATAGTAAAAATTGTGATTAATTTATAGACATATGGTAATCGAAAAAAAAACCTTGCCACAAAATATTCCACTCGCATATTCATAAATTAAATAGGAATCCTTTTGTTCACAATTAAAGTTTCTAAGAATTTTCTTTTACAGGCTGACTTAACGAGGAACTGCCCTCAAGTTGCATCAAGTTCCGTAACCGTTGTGGGATACCGAGGCACTGCAACTCCACGTACTGGGGCTAATGTAACGCCCAGGTGTTCTGCCACTGGAGAGGAGGAAGGAGGCCGCGACGCTTGTTCTGGTTAAGTTACCTCGAAAGCAGAAAAAACCATTCAGCCCAGGTGATTTTAATGATTGAACTAATGATTTACAGGCACTGTAACAGCTAAGCGCCATTAGTTCTGTTAGTGTAAGCGGCTGTTTTTATCACGTGACACAGTGGCAATGATCTGCTCCACGGGATTTATGAGATCTGATCCGATCTATCTGCGATTTGCGGGGGTTTTCCCCGACGACAGTATCTCCCACAGCCGTGGCATTGCCTGGCAAGGACTACCTCTAAGCTCCCGACTGCGCTTGCAGTACAAGAAGTGTGGTGCATGGAAGAGGGTAGCGATGTAAAGGGCGTGAGACAAGGACAAGAAACAGAAATGATCGCGCGCGACAGTTTAGGGTACTGGTCCAGGGTTCCCTGCGTTAAATCGGAGAAACCATAGAAAACTACGATCAGAGCAGTCGACGCGCACATTAATTCTCCCAAACTTGTAGGAACCTGATACTACCTACAGTTGCTCGCTCGAGTAAACCTATCACCGTCGCAGATTCAACCTTGGACATCCGCTATCGTGACATTGCAGTGTCATCAGTTTCCGCTCTCAACAAACCAGGAGCTCAGAGGCTTTCAGGGTTAGCTAATAAAAATCATTGTTCACTTGACCAATTTTGAATACCGAAGTTATATTCGCTTAATAAACTGAAAGTGATTACGTTGCTGCGGAAAAATGGAATTTTGGAATTTTTTGTTTAATGCATTGGTTTTGAGGTTCTCTTATACCGCGAAAAATTTTGTTATAAAAACCTTGTTTGTTACCTATATTCTATCATCTTTTACGGAAGGGCTCACGGTCGGTAGGCCTTACTTTTGGAGGAACAGGCGGGTGTGGCGTGAAAATTTGGGTTTCCAAAAACTTAGCAAACGTTGCTAAGATTTAAAACCTTCGCAAAAAATATTCAACAAAGCCTTTGGAGGATTTTTTGAAAAGGCTTTACATTCAAATCAAAAAAAAATGACTAATTATACGGATTTTAAATTTTTCCCACAGAAAATAAATAGCCTTAAAAAACAAGGTTTTTTACAAAATAAAAAAAATTTTAAACCCAAAAAACCCAAAAAAAATTTATTAATTTTTCCCTCCTTTACTCAGACCACCTCTCCTTTAAGTGATTCCACTTCTCCCGTTCATTAAATGACGGTCACCTAGCTCTTTCCAGCACATTACCTACCTGTTGTGATTTAGTGTGATCCACGTTGCTTGTGTAGTAATTTTTATAAAGTCATTTCTGTGTTTTATATATTTTTGTCCTTCCTGACTATAATGTTATTTCTTATATTTCCTTTGCATTGCTATAGATCTACAGAAGATAAGGAAAGTGTTCCAGAATGTTTTTTATTCATTTATTTAGTCAAAAATATAGTAAAAACTGCATTAACGTAAGGGGAGACAGGAATTTTATGATAAATATTAAAACATATTCTTATGGTTTGATTACTTTTTAACTCACTATGGAGTACCACAAGATATCTTTTACTACCACCGAATTTATATTTTATAAACATATCAGGTCTTTAATTAGAAAATAACGTGTATTTTCCTTGTCCCACAGGCCGACGACGGGGGCCCATTTGTAATAGACGACACGCAAATAGGTATCGTGTCGTATGGACTGGCCTGTGGAAAAGCAGGCATTCCAAGGTTATTAATGAACGTACCGTCAATGCGATCCTGGATCTCAGAGATCGCTGGTGTTTGAGATCAGTTGCATGGACATGGAAGAACACCGTTCAGCTAAACGACTTTCATTGGTTTCTAAGTTATGTTGTAAGAATGTATGGTATGCACATCGGTTCCCACTTCATATTAAGGCATTTATTTGTTTTATTTTCACTGCCAAACCAATACTTTCAGGTTTACTGTTGTATGGCCAGAATTGTAAATTTCTCTTCTGTTAATTAAAAACAAAATAAAAATATTATTTAGTTCTTGTTTGAATGGGCCCAGGGCAAATAATTTCTTATTCACGAACAATTTGTTTAATCATCCGATTCATGTCACCTTTCTAGAGTTAAAAAAATGAAATATTGAACTGTGAACAATAAATTAACTAGTGCTGCAAAACAATGTTACAGACTTTATTGAATAACTTATTTTCCTAATCTCTTCAATCGGAGATAACTTTTTGATTCTGTCCCATCCCCTTCCCAGTACCTACCAATCACCCCGTAAAAGACCTACGAGGTCCTTTTGCAGTACTTACCACTCCTCTGGAGATTTCCACAGTGAATATTACTTTTGCTTCTTTAAAATCGTCTTTTGGACCCTTATCAGTCTTTTAAGAGGACGAATTACTTGACCGCACAATTAGTAAAAGGATCAGTGGGTCAAGGTTGAGTAACGTAACAATCGCAATAATAATCATAGCAATAATTTGATAATATTATAACTAAAACTGGTCTGTATATGCATATGCGAGCACCAGTGTGCTTTGCGGCTTTGAACTCAAAGGTAGGTCAGAGAGTTTAGCAGCATTCGTTTCCAAAGCAATGATACTCACATGTTTTAGCATTAAAATCTATCGACACCCCACAAAACAATGAAGAAATTTCTGACCTAAACAATTAAATATTATGGTACAACTTAACAGGTGCATCAACGCATTAATTAACAAAATCATATGAGTTTAAAATTATATTATATGTAGTTTCTTATAATACTTTTTACTTTCCCGTATATGTACGTATGTACGGAGTAATATACTCTAACGCTAGCAACTCGTCATGACCGGCGTCAGATCGAATGCTCTAATCGAGCTTTGAAATCTCAGGGGGCAGGATCTTTTGGGTTATGAGAAAGATTTACAACCAGTCCCAGAATCAAGAAAAACAGTGTGTGTATTCTCTTCACAACACACAAATATATAACACCAAAATCAAATTTCCCTTCACACGCTTCGAAAATTACCATCGTTTGATCTCTTTGACCCGAATATTCCTTCCTAATCCATTACATTTTTACAAAATGCCCGTGCACGGTAACTACTGCTTGGCCAGCGCCGTTTAAAATATCAAAATATTAAATTCCTTCACTGATGAATACAACAAAGTAAATTCCTTACTTCTATCCAAATTTTAGATTATAAGTAATCGGATAAAATTATTGAATGACGTATGGAACTACAACTATTCACAGTTAATTTTTTTCAGTATTACATAGAAATGAGGAACAAACATTTACACTGCTTTTCTCGTAACATATAACACCTGAATGAACTGTATTACCGACGTACAAGGTTCTCTTTCAGTTATTTTGTCGTGCCCTAGTTCTTACGACAATCTACGTGAATACGCAAATTTACAACCGTAGCCTTCCTACTGATGCACTAACAATCGTGTCTCTGCCTGCCCTCAATCCCTTTACAAAATTCAGTTACCTTCGGTCGCGGGCACAGTGCGCGGCTAGCAAACCTGGCTTCTTGCCCGCGCCTTCCTTCCCTCGGAATGGGCTCCATCGCTCTTCTTGCTGGGCCCCCGGCCCCTACGTCCTCTTCTTCGGCCCCAGTACGCCCCGACGCGTGATGTTTAGTCCTGACGCGTGATACTAGTGGCGTACCTCAACCCTTCAGACTCGTGTTGCTCAGTTAAAAGTCTTGTGACTCCCCGTGATAATCTAGTTCTTCTTCCCCTCGTCTACTACTAGTTCAGCCCAAATCTATAACAGCGTGCAGTTAGAATAACTGCGACACAACTGATGAATTCTGCCCAATTTCTTGAACTCTCTTCAACTTTGCTAATTTCAAATAAACTGCCGAGCACTCGTCGGACGTTACACCTTCCTAACTTATCTCAGCGAACTGCTGCTCGCGACTGCTCTCTCTAACCCCTATCGATCTGGTTCACCGCACTGGTCTATTTACCTCGGCGTCTCGTACAGAAAGAAGAAAGAACGGTCAGCTGCTCCGTAAGGGACGGCGTGACGTACCGGCGAACCTTTCCGCGTTTTCGATAAGCTAGAAGTTCGCCGCCGCCGCGCCGCGGGTAGCGCTGTTTCAGTGGTATCTCATTCGGCTCAACCATGCCCTGGTGATCTGCTCTGGCTTCGCCGACACAGTGTGGGTGTTGTGGAGTTTCCGAGCTTGCCTCAAACGTATGAAGTATAGGCAAAGTTTGGTTATGATGCGCGAAAAATCGGCGGAACAGAGGCAGAAAAAAATTCAGTGCCAGGACCTAATCACAAAAATGGATAAATTCAGTTCCTAAATTAAGAAAAAATACTCTTACGGGGTATACTCAGAATACCTCTTTTGAGGGTTCTTGATACAGAAAAATCAATTGACGGTAAACGTCCGCCTGCCCGCCTGCCCATCCATCCGTCTGTGATCACTACTAGCGCCTAAACCATGCGTAGGTTTTATTCCATACGGAAGAAAACCCTGTGTATCTGGCTCAAGTTGAAGCTTTGAAATTTTGAAAAATTTCTATCAAATTTGGAAATACTTTACATGAATCCCTCCGGGCATTGTCAACATTTCCTCAAAAACGGAACAATTTTTTTTTCTTTGAATTTCTTCTAAGAACAGAGTAGCATGCAGTTATAAAAGTTGCATAGATCCAATATTCTCGGTTAACTTTGAATTTTCGAAAATTTGAAAAGTATAAAGTTTTTTTCGGCTTCTTAAACCTTTTTCATGAGTTCGGAAAATAACTGATAAGTATAATCCCACCTCTTTCATAAATATTAGCATTTCTTTTTTCCTAAGAATCATGCTTGCGCTAAAGTTTAATTCTTTGCGCAAATAACGGATTCACAACAATAAAATTACATTTAAATTTAATTTAAAAAGATGTCCTTTCATGTTATGTAAATATAATTGTAAACACTGACTTAATATCTAAAATATATATTACTTTTTAAAATGCAAATTGTTCTTTGGTCGACACTTAATAATTTGTAAAAATTACTAATGCATTTCTACACTAATTTTGTATAGATCTACCGAATTTCACAGTGGGATACACATAAATAA